TGCGATTGCAGGTAAATTTCATTGGGGGCGCTAGAATGAGATTGAAGACTTATTTTCATACGTTCTCACAAACTGGCGTCTTCTGTATTCAGGCGCTTTCTTCCGATCAGCTCATTTAGTAAAGTGGGATTAACCATGAAATAGGGTTTACAATTCATTATCTATTTAGCCAATTTCCTAAAACCAAATGAAGCTTACGCAAACATTTCCAAAAAATAAATTACAAACAGCATTTCCTAAAAGAATGTATACAATAATAGGAATAGATAAACAAATGAATGTGTGCACACTGTATACTAAATAAAAAGACTAATCCTAAACGCAACCCGCATACGAAAATATTGCGCCTGTATAATACAATGAGCGTAGACATAAATTTTATATGAGATGTGTTCACCAAATTTCGTTTTAGGTGTTGAAGGACTCGTAGTTAAATTTTCCCACAATCATATGAATAGAACTGACGTCTCCATTGAAGTTCACATAGCCTTGCTCTCCCACAAGGTGTTCTCGTCCAGGGTGGACAGCGGTTTCGACCTAGTCTTGGTCGTACCAACACGCTTAGCGGGAGTCGAACCGTGGCAGTACAATGTATAATCTCGACACCACATTGCCACCAGTACCCATGCGTCACAAGGCAGCTGTGATTGCTATAGCATCTTTGCTTCATCGGCAATGCCACCACCGGATGTGACATGCAAATTCCTGGCTTTCGCTAATTGGAGAATGGCAAGACTCGCTGATGATGCCGACTACGATGCCGGCGAAGCGTCTGGAAATGTACCAAGTCGGCAGTCTGATGCTGGGAATTATGAAACTACTATGACAGAGGACTTCGGACAATGTGTGTTCAACTAAGTCGCCCTGACAACAAGACTAATTTGCGAAAACGAGGTCAATCCACTTCTTGAAATATCAACTTCCGCAGTTTCGAAACCCTAATTTCATATTCTTTTCTTCTTTGCCATTCTCATCACGACTTTAGTGAATTATGATAAGGTAGTTAAGGTAGAGAACTTGGATATGCTAAACAAAGGTTTATAAATCTGATGGTCTTTAAAGAATAGAGTTACTGCACTGGAACACTTTAAAATGCATTGCAGGGCCGTTACTCGAAGGTTTTTGATGAAGTCTTGACCTTACAAGCGAGTCACGCGTGCCATCTTGATTTCTTTTTTAGTTTGTCACCCATCCACACTGTCAGCAGCTGTTGGCCTCCCTTTGGTATGATGGTCTTCCGGGCTTTCGACGTAAACCACTTGTATTCCAGTTGAGTACAGTTGCCCTCTTTTGTGTGCTTTTTCCTGTGCTGTCGATGTGTTACCTGGTCGCGCCCCGTTCTAAATGGGGCAGCATCTTGAGAAAGCCGTTCATCAAGTTTCTGGTCCACAGCAGCGCCTATCTCGCCTTTCTTGGTATGTGGTACTCTTTTTGTGGCTCATATTTGTACTTTTTTATTGCTTATTTCACACGCCATTCCTGATGCCTCCAATTGTAAGAACAAAACAACTTTAAATTAGTTGGTTTAACATGAGCGAAAACACTATTCTGCATTAAAAGAATCAATTAAAGGAGGCAGGAAGGTAACTCAGCACTAGCTGGAGCATAATAGCGTCTGATTAGGCTCAAAAAACGTCCAGTCTTCTGAGTTGTCAATTGAATAAATGATAGAGGATATCCAACTCCGAGGTTCATGATTAAAATTGATTAAACCCTTTATAATCATGCAATATTTGTCTCAGCAGACAGCAAGCATTCTGTGCAAAAGGTCTAGAAAAATAAGATATATAGTAATTTCCGAATTTAGAACTTCTATATTACGTTGGGCCTTATTAAAAGACTTTCTATTGGCGGAAAGATCAAACACGCCTACTGTTATCGAGAGTGAGTAGGTAGTCGTGACTACCAGTACAACAGATATATGAGTTGTTTTCAGCTTATTTTGTTTAAGATGATGAAGGAAGGGTAGCTGAATTTTGCCATAACGATATGAGTGGATCTGATGTTTTCCATTAAATTTCACATAGCCTTACACTCCCAAAAGGAGTTATCATACAAGGTGGACTGCAGTTTCGACCTTGCATGGGTTTGATCAGCATCCCAAGCGGGAGTCGAACCACGCCCATGCAGCGTGTAATTTCGACAAGTTAGCCACTACGCCACATTGCAACGAGTGACCTTGATTCACAGGGCAGATGTGCATTTCAAGGAATATCATGCATTTTCCCATATCACAGCTGCCCTGTGGCCTAAGGGCACTCGGGGCAATGTAGAGTAGCGGTTAGGGTGTCGAGTAGACATGCTGCTTTGTCACAGTTCGACTCCCTCTTAGGGTGTTGATAAGACCGATGTGAGGTGGAAAATAGAGTACATCCCGGAGGAGAACACCTTTTAGGAAAGCAAGTCTGTGTGAAATTCAATGGAAATCATCAGTTCTACTCATAGCATTGTGGGAAAATTCAACTCTCAGTCCTTCCTCATCTTAAACAAAAAAGGGTGAGCACAATTCATACGTCTACTGTTAATCAACTAGCTCTAGTCTCCGCCACATCCATCGTGCTCCTATCCATAATTCCAGGTCTATTACTTACTATGCCCTAGTCTCTTGTGTGCCAAACCACAAATGCTGTGGCTCTACTTATTTTGATTTGGCTCACTGTAGACGTCTCCTCTTGGAGTCCAATTGTTCCTTTCTGGATTCGTTGCGGGTTCTTTTACTAAAATTAAAAATGTCACCTTGATACATTCTTCTTCCTGTTGATCTTAATGTTGCCTGATCTTCTCCGAGTTTGCTTAGGTTATATGCAAATCTTTCGCTATTCTTTACTTCTTTAACTCTCCTTTACGTTAGATTTTCTTCAGTCAGGATATCGATGGTCTCTATGATCTTGCGTTTTCTCGTATTTTCACCGTGTACCGCCAGCATCTCTGTCGATTTCCAGTCGATTTGTATCTTGTCTTTGCAATTGGTCTCGCTATTTTGGATCTTACTGAACCCATGTTTCTATAGAGTCTTTGGTATTCTTTGATTTGTATACTAATTTTTCTTACTGTTTCCCTAATATCCTTCTGCTCACAGTTGCCTCATTCGATGTTGTAGACTGCCGAGCACTCCACTTTATCAACCTTTTCGTATTGCGTATACAATCTTGTGAAGTTTGTTGTCTTTTCTTTTGTCCTCACTTTGCTTTTCCATTTTTTACCATCTTTTGCAATTTCTGGCTCAGTTCACAGCAGGACAGACATATTCACTTTTACTCTTCCTCCCGATTTCCTAGTTGAACTCTGCTCTGTATGACCCCTATATTTATTTCTATATGTTCTCTAGCGTACCAATTACTAAGGCAAATCCGATTCAGTTTCTCCAACTCCTCGTTACAGAACTCAGTATCCGTTAGTCTTAGCATCTGCTCATCATTCTCCTTATTATTCCTATCTTAAGTCTGCAGTTGTGTTATGACTGGAAATTTGCTGATTACTCTTGCATGTGATTTCTTTCTGAATAGTCTCCTCTTGAGTATTCCTTTGGAGCTAATGACCTCAAAATCCCCGAAGGGCAGTCGTTTATCCTCCTCAACCTCTATTGGGAATTTAATTCTTTTATAAAATCGAGGGACTCATCCATATTTACCTTACCATATTTGCAACCAAAGTGCAAAGTAGTCATCCAAGTATCGCATGAGCACTCTTGGTTGCAGTGGTGGCTTCACGAATTCCCTTTCCAACTTGTCCATATATACATTTGCCAAAAGAGATGAGAATGGAGATCCCAACGTTAGTTCAAATATTTGCTTATAGATATTACCGTTGAATGTACAATATGTGGCACTTACCTTCAGGTTAATTAGTCGCGTTAATGACTATTTCCTTATCCGCTCTCCTTCCAGGATATCCTCCTCATAATTGTTGGGATTACTTCCATTCCGAGTAGAAGTGTTGGGTGAAGAGATTCGAAGGTCGGTTCCAC